CTCTTGCACATCTAGTTAACTTAGCAACATTTCTGACTGTTTTAGTTATTTATTACTATATGGATCTTGGGGCATTTTCATTAGAGAATGAAAATAATGTAGTTTGAACTTTATTCTTCAACCTTGAGCCTTTCCAGGCTTTTCTTGGATGCTATTCTTAATTCTTTGTCTCAGAATTGAAATTTTGTCTGTCTGCTCTTTTTTTTTTTCTGAGACAAAGTCTTGCTCTGTTGTCTGGGCTAGAGTGCTGTGGGATCAGCCTAGCTCACAGCAACCTCAAACTCCTGGGCTCAAGTGATCCTCCTGCCTCAGCCTCCTGAGTAGCTAGGACTACAGGCATGTGCCACCATGCCCGGCTAATATTTTCTATATATTTTTAGTTGTCCAACTAATTTCTTTCTATTTTTAGTAGAGACGGGGTCTCGCTCTTGCTCACGCTGGTGTCGAACTCCTGACCTCAAGTGATCCTCCCGCCTCAGCCTCCCAGAGTGCGAGGATTACAGGTGTGAACCACCACGCCTGGCCTGTCTGCTCTTTAGATACTGGTCCCTTCCATGTCTGTTTTTTTCTATTTTTAAATTTTCTACCTCTAATTTTGAACTTCTTTTTGCTCTTTGACTTAAAATCTTTCTTTTTAATCATGCATAGGAAATATTTCTGGAGCTTTTCACTGTTATTAGAAATGTTAATGCAGTGGCTTGGTGACTCATTGTCATAGATGCTATTTAAAAGAGGCCAATACTGGATAGTAGGTGCTATGGTTTGAAAAATGTCCCTTCCAAAACTCACACTGAAGTTTAATTGCCATTGGGAAGGTATTAGGAGGTGGTCAGGCCATGAAGGCTGTGCCCTCCTGAATAGATTAATGTTGTTGTCACAGGAATGGGTTTGTTATTGAGTGGGTTGCTATAAAAGTGAATTCAGCCCTCTCTCACTCTTGTAGTCTCTTGTCCTTCCATCTTCTTCCATGGCATGACACGACATAAAAGGCCTCACCAGATGCTGATGCCATGTTCCTGGACTTTCCAGCCTCCAGAATCATGAGCCAAATACGTTTCTGTTCATTATAAATTACCCAGTCTATGGTGTTCTGTATGGCAACATAAAATGGACTAAGGCAGAAATTGGTACTGACTAGTGCTGCTATTGCTACAAATGCCTGAAAACGTGGAAGCAGCTTTGGAACTGGATAATGGTTAGAGCCTGGAAGAATTTGGAGAAGCAAGCTAGAAAAAGCCTAGATTGTCATGAATAGAGTATTAAGGGTGGTTTTGGTGAGGGCTCAGAAGAGGAAACCTGCAGGAAAAGTCTGAAACTAGAGATTTAAGTATTCGTGATTGAAATGCTGGTAGAAATATGGACAGTGAAGAACATTCTGATGAGGTCGCAGATGGGAAAAAGAAATATCTTATTGGAAGCTGGAGTAAAGGCAGTCCTTGTTATGAAGTGGCAGAAATCTTAGCTGCATTATGTCTGTACCCTAGGGCTTTATGGCAGATGAAATTTAAGAGCAATGCGAACTAAGATATCTGATGAAAGAAATTTCTATGTGAAACATTTAAGGAGCTATGTGGCTACTTTTAAGTGCATATACAGTAAGATGCAAAAGGAAAGAAATGACTTAAAGATGGAATTTATAATTAAAAAAGAAGCAGAATGGAAAGACTGAAAATTTTCAGCCTGGCCATGTAAAGAATGAAAAAAATATGTTTGGGAGAGCAAACCAAGGATGTGGCTAAGTGACTGCATGCTATGGAGATTAGTATGGATAGAAGGGATCATCAAAACAGTGGGAGAGTAACACTGCAGGCCTTTCAGAGGTCTTCAAGGCTGCTTCTCTCATCACATGTCCAGAGCTCTCAGAGGGCAGAATGGTTTCCCTGAATCCATTGGCCACCATGGATGGGCCTGGTGTGCCCTCCATGGGATTGCTGCCCAGAGTTGCCTCAGGTCTCTGCGCCCTGCATTCTGGCAGAGTGCAGTGCTCCTTGGCTGCTTCAACCTTGGCTCAAGCAGGCCCAGGTGTGGCTTTTCCCACTGCTCTGGAAGATATAAGCCATAAAGCTTAGTGGTGTACACGTGGTGCTAATTCTGTAGGTGTGCAGAATGCAAGAGCCATGAGGACATGGCTCCCTTTACCTAGATTTCAAAGGATGTCCTGGACAGCCTGGGGGCTCAGGGAGAGACTTGTAATGGGGCAGAGCTACCACAGAGGCACTTGTCTACTAGGGCAATGGTGAGCAGAAATATGGAGTTGGAGCTGCCAGAGAGAGTTCCCACTAGGGCAATGCCTAGGGCAGCTGTGGGAGTGGGGCCACTCCTGAGGCCCAAGAACTATAGAGCCATCAGCTTGGAGCATCAGCCTAGGAGAGCTGAAGGAAAAGACTTCAACCCCTGAGAGCTACTGGTTGGACTGAGCCCAGCAAAGCCATAGGGATGAGGGTACCTGAGGCCTTGGTGGTGCAAATCCTGCCCCAGTGTTCCCAGAAGGGAGAACAGGGAGTCAAGGTAAATGGTTCTGGAGCTTAAAGACTTAATGTTGATTTCCTTGTTGGATTTTAGACTTATTTGGCACCAATTACCCCTTTCTTCTTGCTTATTTCTCCCTTTTAGAAGGGGAATGTCTACTTTATGCCTGTCCTACAGCTATATTTTGGAACCATATAATTTAATTTCACAGGCTCACAGCTGGAGAGGAATTTGCCTCCGGATGAATCATGCCTTGAGTCTCACCCATGTCTAATTTAGGTGAGACTTTGGGTTTTGGACTTTTGAGTTGATGCTGAAACGAGTTAAGACTTTTGGGACTTTGAGGATGGCATGAATGTGTTTTGCATTATGAGGACATGAATTTTAGGGACCAGGGGCAGAATGCTATGGTTTGAATGTGTACCTCAAAGTTCATGTGTTGTTAATGGAAGCTTAATCCCCAGTGCAATAGTGTTGGGAGGTGAGGCCTAGTAAGAGGTGATTAGGTCATGAATGGTTTAAAGTCATTATCTTGGGAGTGGGGTTGTTATAAAAGCAAGTTTGGTCTTCTCTTGCTCTCGCGCTCTTTTGCCTTTCCACCTTCCACCGTGGGATGACATAGCATGAAGACCCTCCCCAGATGCCAGCGCCATTCTCTTGGACTAATCAGCTTCTAGAACTGTAAGCCAAATAAATTTCTGTCCATTGTAAATTACTCAATCTGTGCTATTCTGTTATAGCAACAGACTATGACAGTAGGTTAAATTAGATGATTGAAAAGCTTAGAATGAAAGGACATTCTTGCTGAAAAGGACCTTAAAGAGAAACAAGTGGTTTCCAAACGTGATTACAAATGAGAATCACAAAGAGTTTTTAAAAAATGAAACAGTTTTTTGAGCTCTACGCTAATTGTTTCAGTATGTGAGTCTCAGTCTGTAGGCTTGGCTATAAGCATACAAAGATCCTTAGGAGATTCAATGAAGTAAGCTTGATTCCTGGTTATCAGATTTTCATTTGGATACTGTTGATGTAGTCTGAACCTTCCATTTTACAGACAAAGAAATTAAGGTGTAGTTCACATACCTAGTTAACACCAGATCTATGTCTAGAATCAGTTCTTCTGATTATTAGCCCATTATTATTTTTCTTTTTGCACATTGATAACTCTTCTGTATCATTCATTTAGCTAACCAACAAGCATTTATTTAGTAGTCTTCACAGATTAAGTGCTGTTTCCTTTGGATAAGGCAGTATAATATAATAGTTGAGAATACAGCTTTAGAGCTAGAGTGTCTGAGTTCCTGTCTGGCTCTGTCATTTCCTTTTTTTGTAATCTGGGTTAAGTTCTTGACAAACTTTTGCCACAGTTTCCTCATTCGTAAAATGAGGCTAATAATTACAGAAGTTGACATTTATATTTTCTAAGATACTTTTTATGATTTAAGAAGGTCCTTTTTGTTATAATCTAGACAGTCCAAAACGATAAATTTGCCAGTTATGATTAGTTTTAGTGAAGTAACATGTTAAAAAATAAATTGACAGAATGGGGCCTTGTACAACATAGATGGTTATTGCTCTCTCTCATTAAAGAAAAGTAGGCATCCTAGAGTTGATGATGGCTTCATGATTATATAAAGCCCAGGCTCCACTTATCTTGCCGTTCTAGCATCTTTGGTGTTTTACTTCATGATCCAAGATGGCTTCTTGCACTCCAGCAATCATGTTGTAGTCTAGCCAGCAGGAAAAAGGAAGGGGGCAAAGAACGATTGTTTTCCCTTCCAAGAGAACTTCTCCCAGATGTTGCATACAAAATGTGTGCATAATTTCCTGAGCCAGAATTCAGTCATGTGGTAAAGGAGCCCGTAAATGTCTCCTTTCTGGGTGGTTATATACTAGCTAAGAATTGAGGGCTCTGTTACTTAGAAAGAAAGGAAGAATGGATATTGGCATCTGCTCTATCACAATAACAGTCAATACTAGTATGACTTTTCATGGCTTTTACTGAATTCATTTAGGTTATACAAATTGAAAGGTATCAGAATCTGGGTATACTTTGTTATTAAGCGAGCTTTCACATTGAGGGCTCCATCAGTCCATTTGGTACAAGAATGTGCATAGGAGCATTTTGTTTGGCAAAGCATGGGCATCGCTTCAATCATAGCTCATTAAACATTTTTGCACAAGAGCAGCAATTTTTCAGTAGGCCTGGTTAATCAGTTATCTTTTCTGATTGAATTGGTTTTAGATTCTAAAGGAGGTAAAAAGATAAAAATGAAAGACAGTTTGTCTTTGATCACCAAGTGGTATGAAGACTTACGGTAAACATTCACTAAATGGTAGCTGCTTTATTATTATTATTATTATTATTACTGTAACTATTTGATTAGATCATCGCCAAAGTCACTTACAGTTTAAATATGGTCACTGGATTCCAGTCATGAATTATTTCAGTAGTGAATGGTAACTTTGACAACTTTGCTTTTTTGGTTTGTTTTAAATGTGAACCTCTGTTATTGTTTTAAAACTTCTAGTTCTCAATTTTGAACCATATGGACTCTCCTTTTCTTCACCTGGCTTCACTGGACGACAGTCTCCTGCTGGCATTTCTCTTGGTTCAGATATATCTGGGAACAGTGCTGAGACAGGGCTGAAAGAGTAAGTTCTTTTTATTAAAATTGAGAATGTGGGAGTGTGTAAATGTCTTTTAGCATTCCGTTGCCTTCTGCTTCTGCTTTGTATTATCATGATCAGTATTTGCTTAGTTTAGGATGATTTCCAGGAAGTTTATTATTTCATTCATCTTCAAATAATTTTCAAAGGGAGAGGCACATTTGTGACAGTGTGTTTTAATATAATGGCTTAGAAGGGTTCCTAAAAGTTAAGTTTTATATGGGCTATTTCTGTTGTTTCTATTTATTTGCTCTCAAGATATTGTTGTTGTACAGCATGTTCTTATACTTTAAGAGTTTACTTACCTTCCAAGATAGCATAAGATGTATACAAGTTTCACACAGCAATAATATGTGTTATTTGGTACATATTATAAAATATACATATATATTTTAAGAAGTGTATTAGAATTTATATACCCAGGTAAGTATTCAGCACATCATTCTACATTCCTTCTTCTAATAAATATGTCTTATAACCATCTCATTGGAAGATTAACAGATATTATAGAGATGAACATTAAATAAGATTATTAATTTCATCTGAAGAAGCTGTATAGCCATCTGAAGAAGGTGTATACAAATGTTCCTCCACTTACAATGGGGTTATATCCTGATAAATGCATTATAAATTGAAAATATCTAGTGAAAAAAGTATTTCATACACCTAACCTACCAAACATCATAGCTTAACCTACCCTACCTTAAATATGCTCAGAACAGCATTAAGAGAGAGTATTGTATTGCCTGTTATTAGCCTGGGAAAAGGTAAAAATTCAAAATTCAAGATAGGTGTGGTGGCTCACGCCTGTAATCCCAGCTACTCGGGAGGCAGAAACTAAGGCAGGAGGATTGCTTGAGGCCAGGAGTTTGAGACCAGCCTGGGCAACACCAGTCTGGGCAACATCTCTAAAATGATTTAAAAGTTAGCCAGGCATGGTGGTGCATGCTTATAGTCCCAGCTACTCAGGAGGCTGAAGTGGGAGAATCACTTGAGCCCAGGAGTTCAAAGCTGCAGTGGTCTATCATTCCACTCCACTGTAGCCTGGACAACAGAGCGAGACCCTGTTTCTTTAAAAAATAAAACATTCAAAATATGGTTTCTATTGAATATGTATTGCTTTCACACCATTGTAAAGTTGAAAAATCATTAAGTTGAACCATTATAAATCAGGGAACATCTATACTCACCTGAGGAAGCTGTATATTTTGCTCAAAGTGCTTTCAGAGTTTCTTCCCAGCCACCTTGAAAATTGGAGAGTGTTTGAATGTCTTTTTTGGAGCCATATTTCATTCTTTTAAGATAGATTTTGATTTAGGAAATATAATTAAGTTACTTTCAGAAACATAATTAATATTAATAAAATGAGATAGTGTGAAGTGCATAGTCTAATCTAGTACATAGTGATTGATAAATAGTAGCTGCTACTATTAATAACAGTTGTCTTTATCATCATTATCATTATTATCTAAAAGCTGAGTTTATCAAATAAGTGATCGGTCTCAATAATTTTGGTCAGTATACTGATGTGAAAATAATGAAGATGGCTTTCTTGTTTGTGAATTAGCTTTATCTAAAAGAATTCAGAATGTTTTAAATAATGGCAGCATTATTGAAATAAATATGATAAAAACCTCAAAGGTGACAACTTTGAAGGATGACATTTGAATTTTGAGTCCTTGTATATTCATTAAGAAGTCAGTCACCTTATTTTATGTTCATGGATATATATGTCAATCTTTCAATGAAATGATTATAAAAAGTATTTATCAGAAGAATGACATAAAGAGACTTTGAAGAATGTAGAATGAATGAATGACATGCTGAATGAAATGACATAAGTTCAAATTCTCTTTCTTATCCTTTTTTTCCTTGCTCTGTTAAAATCCTTGACATGTTCTTTCCCATACATTTAATTTTGGTATACTCCAAGCATGGGGAGCAGATATGGTTTGTGGACATGTGATGGTGGAGGTAACAGCAATTAAGTACCCCAAACAGGGAAAAAGGGGGCAAAGGGGCAAAAGAAAGAGAGACAGAAACCTTCCAAACCCAGAGAGAAACTTACACAGTCACTTTTACCTGCACAACAGGTGATGGCATCTGTTACTTTAGTACTGAACTAGTATCTGGGGGACGTGACAGGGCCTTGTAAATCCTGTACATATACATGTACTACCCTCTGAGAAATGGCATTTAGCAAAACTGCTAAGGAATTATATATGCTGTATTATCATGAAGTAGAACATGAGGGATGAATTTAAAATTTCTTTCCGGCCGGGCGCGGTGGCTCACGCCTGTAATCCTAGCACTTTGGGAGGCCGAGGCGGGCGGATCGCTCAAGGTCAGGAGTTCGAAACCAGCCTGAGCGAGACCCCATCTCTACCAAAATTAGAAAGAAATTAATTGACCAACTAAAAATATATATACAAAAAAATTAGCCGGGCATGGTGGCGCATGCCTGTAGTCCCAGCTACTCGGGAGGCTGAGGCAGTAGGATCGCTGAGCCCAGGAGATTGAGGTTGCTGTGAGCCAGGCTGATGCCACGGCACTCACTCTAGCCTGGGCAACAAAGTGAGACTCTGTCTCAAAAAAAAAAAAAAAAAATTTCTTTCCAAAGAAAATCATGACCTACACATTATTTCAAATTAAGAACCTGTGAAGTAATTGGCAACATGAATCTGCTTTAGAGAGGAGACAATTGCTCTTCTACAGTCTTTTGTAAACTGAGAATAAAGTAGTAGTAAGCCTAATTTAGAATTTCTTGCTTGTTGGCACCCTACCTTAAGTGGGAATTTCTAGAGCTGAGTTAAAGTATACCCCTAATATTTCAAAGGTTACTGGTCAGAATTTCTATATGTGTTTGAATGTTCTGATTAAAAAATAATATAAAAACACACCATATAAAATTATGTATTACAGTATTGTCGAAATCCAAGCGAGGATGACTCATATTTACAAAAAAATTGTTTTTACAGTATGTTTCATACCATTAAGAGGCATATTTTATATATGAAATGGCCTTATGTTGCTTTCTTGTGTATTTTCCCACTTTTTAGACTGTTTATATATAGTACATTACAGAAAGTTTATGTTCATAATAGGTATGTATGCAGATGAAATAAGTGAGAAAAGTCTTTAAAATAGCTTGAGGTTCCTTTTAGGCTCCTTTTGTGTCCCTCTCCCCTTTTGCCTATTGTGAGTTGGGTTCCCTGGGCAGCACATTCTGCAGTGGGCATTTAGCGTGCAGAATAATGAGTGCTTTTGGGATGGCATCTGTGAAAGAAAGGAAAAAGAAGCAGGTTTGGGCAAAAGAAGTTAAGATGCAATGCATTGCCAGTGATAGCCTCTGCTACCCATGGGGAGCTCTGGAGTTAGAATGACCCTTCAGAGTTGTCCGGAGTTGGACCAAGATGGGTGGCCAGGACTTTATACTTCTGCTCATCTGTCAGTGGATGTAGGCTGCCTGGAAGGGATGTGACCTTGGGTGAAGTGGCTCTCTGCAGCTGAGGCAATCCCTGAAGGGGCTGAGAGTTGACAGTCCTCCCAACAGCTGGGCAACAGTACTTCATTGAAGAAGGATCTGGATGAAGCAGCCCAGAGTCTGCCACACATGCCTTTTTTTTGTTAAACTAATATTTAGACTATTTATTAGTAAAATTTTGGGACTTTTTAAAATAAATAATTAATGGAAATGTTTTGGTTAAAGGGGATAGGTACATAGATACTGTAATCCTACTGTGAGTATTCATGATTTCCCTAGAGGTGCTTACTTTTGAGCATTCTAGAAGTGGTAGGGGTCATTTTAGTAGTTCCTGTGACCACTTTTGGATCTGCTTGTGGCAGGGACAACCAGTTTTCTTCTAAGGTTTATTGGATAATTTTTTTTTCTTTTCAAAACTTCTTAGAAAACTCTTTTGGTATCTGAAAGAGAGGGGGAAATGAAGATATTTATAAAGGGATACTTAGCAGTAAAAATCATTAAGGAGGAATGACCTACCTGTAGGGCATTTTTCATTAACATTCCACTTTTCCTTCAATCACTTACTACTTAGTAGCATTAATTCTTAAGTCAGGGCCCGGCGTGGTGGCTCATGCCTATAATCCTAGCACTCTGGGAGGCCGAGGCGGGTAGATCATTTGAGCTCAGGAGTTTGAGACCAGCCTGAGCAAGAGCGAGACCCTGATAGAAAGAAATTAGCAGGACAACTAAAAAAAAATATATATATATATATATACACACACACACACAGACACAAAAATATATATGTGGGTGTGTGTGTATATATATAAATTAGCCGGGCATGGTGGCGCATGCCTGTAGTCCCAGCTACTCGGGATGCTGAGGCAGTAAGATCACTTGAGCCTAGGAGTTTGAGGTTGCTGTGATCTAGGCTGATGCCACGGCACTCTAGCCCAGGCAACAGAGTGAAACTATGTCTCAAAAAAAAAAAAAAGGAAAAAATTCTTAAGTCAGTATGGGGTGTAACTACCTGGGTTTTTTTGTTTTTTTTTTTTAAGTTTTGGTCTCAAAATCAAATTGATCATGATTCTAACAATTTAGATGGGAATAATAATCAATACAAATATTTCTGTGTATTCCTTTTAGATTCATTTCATGATCTACCTATCTTGTAATATAAATTATAAGTATGTCATTTTGGACCATGACAGGGATGCCTAAATGAACCAATTGCCTAGGACACATAGTTCTTTCTTTGCCTCAGCAATATTGAGGGGTGATTGGCAAATAAAAATTATACAGTTGACCCTTGAACAATTTGGGTTTGAATTGTCTGTATAAGTCCACTTATACATGGATTTTTTTCAATAAGTTTATTGGAAAATTCTTTGGAGATTTGTGATAATTTGAAAAAACTCTCTGATGAACTGCATAGCCTAGAAATATTAAAAAAATTAAAAGAGATATATCATGAGTGTATAAAATATATGTAGATACTAGTCTGTTTATATGTTAAATTGATTATTTGTGTTACCAGTAAGGCTTCTGGTCAGCAGTTGGTTATTAGTGTTTAAGTTTTAAGGGAGTCAAAAGTTATATGTGGAGTTTTGACTGTACAAGGAGTCAGCACTCCTAACCCCTGCATTGTTCAGGAATCAGCTGTGTGTGTTTAAGTTGTAGAATGTGATGTTTTGATATAGATATACATTGTGAAATGATTACCATAGTCAAGCTAATAAATGGGCCATAGCTCTTATGTAAGAACAATAGAGACAGTCTTTGGCTGTTTTAGCCTGTACGTATTAGTCACTCTAGATTTTTACATCTATAACTTTTGGGACATTAGGTGAGTTCATATTCTAAATTTGGCCCTGGACTTACTGCCTAGATATCTTGCCTATACTTTTTGGGTAGAACATCTGGCTCCTAAATGTTACTTTAATTCTTCTTCAACTCAGGCATAAAAAATTGCTAATAAGCCTCATGTTTTTTCCTAAAAATCTTACTTTTTTCTTATATAGACCAAACTTCATTTCATTTTTATAAAAGCACATTTGTAATAGTTGAAAATGTAGTTAGTGTGGATTAAAAGTAAATTTATATATGGGAGTACATTTGAATGATTTTGCTTTCAATGAGAGTTTATTTAATGAATTTATTAATATGTAGGTTTAATCACTTTCTATAGCTAAGAAACTTAAGAGTCATTTCTGATCTTTAACCCATCAGAATTAAAGATAAAGTATTTTGTGAAAAGTCAATGGGGGATAGGAACTGATTTACAATAGTTCTATTTTTGTACAACTTATTCAAGCGATTAAGTGAAAATTAAATGATCTGAAATTTTTAACTAAGTCTAGAGTTCTGCTGCCTTAAATCCTTTGACTGGAGAGCAGGGGGATGTTGGCTGTAATCAAAATAAAGTCTCGAGAGCCAGGTTTTACTTCTGGCATATAGAATATAATGTGAGAGCTATTTTTAAAAGGCCATGGGCATTGATGTGTTTTGGAAAAATGCCCCAAGAAAGTTAACTATTTGACAATTATTTAAATGGACTTGATTTCATTATCAATTTCCTTAGGACCAATAGCTTGAAGCTGGAAGGTATAAAGAAATTGTGGGGGAAAGAGGGCTATCTTCCCAAGAAAGAAAGCAAAACTGGTGATGAAAGTGAAACTCCACCTATTCCTCAAGAGAGTATAATAATGGAGAACGCAGATCAAGCTATAACAAAAAAGGATCAATCTCAAGTTCTTACCCAATCTAAAGAAGAGAAAGAAAAGCAGCTGCTGGCATCATCTTTGTTTGTTGGGCTAGGATCAGACAATACAATCAGTTTGGTAAGTAATCAATCATATTCCACTAAGAATCTTGTCCCCTGGTTGTACAAAAAACTGCCTCTATAAAAGCTCCTGGCTGTCATCTACACACATGGTGAGAAATGGCTGCCCCAGCTCTCACTTGCTGTCATCTCCCAACTCCAGAGCTTCCAGTGATACACCTTTATACTCCAGAAAGAGAAAGTCCAGTTGGTTCAGCTGGAGTCAGGTGTTCTGTTCAGTCCAGTCAGTAGGGCAAGGATCAGGGTCCAAATAAAGTTCCAAATATGATCACATGTACTCTTACCCCTCTGGGTGGATGGGACAGTTCTTGAAGGGAAAGGAGCTGAATAATAATAGTTCAACATTATGAGTGTATCTATGGAAAAAGCAGATCTCAAGATGGTATTTTTAATAGTGAAAAATAGGAATCAATTTAGATGTCTAACTGTAGGAGAATGGTGACATAAATTATATTCTCTCAGAATATTCAGCTCTAAAAATGATCAATATTGCATTGTAAATGGGAAAACTACTTATATATTTTTAAAAATGTGGAGTATAAATTTTTATTTATACCTTGTTTATAACTAAGACTGAAAGGAATTATACAAAAATGATAATTATATTCAGGTATTAAGATTATGATGATTTTCAAACTTTTAATGCTGATGTATTATTTTTATAGTAAAAGAATGAAAAGTTGGGTGAAGGACAGGTGCTATTTTTGAGCATCTGGGGATACCATGGAATCCTCCTTTTGGTGGCTGATGAATCCACCTAGTGTGAAATTGTGATTAGAGCAACATCCTAGTTCTTTCATCCTCCTCCCTTGGTGGAGTTTTCACATCATTTCTGTTAGCTACTAGTAGGCCAGATGGTATACCATGCTACAGTCTTTATCTGTGTTTTTCTTTTTTAGACTCACCAATCTTGATCCCATTTCTGTGAGACTTGATATTCTCCTAATAAGAAAAAACAAATTCAATCTAAATGTATTAATAATTAATTTTAATGTCTCAGTTGCCATTTGGAGTTCAGCAAAGTGACTGATCCTGAGTCTTTGAGTTGTTCTGGCAGGCTGTGATTGGTGAGAGGGTACCAGTGAATGCTCTAGTAAGAGTGTGCCAAAGTCATGATACCCAGACTCATGGAGCCATGATCTGTGAACCTTATCGCTGGTATAGAAGTATTCCTGCCTACTTAACAAGTGCATAGCTTTCTGTTAGATTTTTTTCTTCTTCAGGAGAATATTCAGGATGATAAATTAATATCAGATTTTATGTGGTAAACTTGAAATCAAATACAATTAGGATTTTTTTTCTATTTAAATTAATAATGCTAAATTCTTTTGGGGTTACCCCATATACTGCACCCCACCCTCCACCCAGTTATCACTAAATAGTACAGAAAGGAGTGTATTTCCTTGTTTTACAGGACTCTAAATTCTGTGAGGAACTGTGTTGTAACTCAGATGGCATCATGCAGAAGGGGAAGCTAATGATGACATAAAATTAGCATGTATCCTCTCAACCCCCGTTTTTCCTCACTAGGGCAAGCCAGACAGCATTGGGACTGAGTGTGCTCCTTCTGTGCCATGCCTCTTTTTGGATGGCTGGTTTTCTCCAGCAATCCTATTGCCTATGATTTCTCTGATGTTTAGGGTCTTAGTTACATAGATGAAGACTATATTGATGTATTTCATTTTAACTACCTTTTATTTTTAGGTCTGCAATTTTAGTAATTTTTAGTAATTTTTTACATAGTTCACTGTAGGAGTCAAAGTTTTCTTTTCACCTTTGGCTTTTTATTTCACCTTCATTTTTATTAATAAAAGATATTTCCTCTTGGAATGCTATGCTAGGCTGTTTCTTTTCTTTAAGTATTTTAACAAGGATGTCACTACAGTGTCTTTTGGCCTGTGTAGCTGTGTTAATCAGATTAACAGCAGATTGACAGTACAGAAGAAAAGATCATTAAACTTGAAGGCAAAGTAATAGAAACTATCCAAAATGAAACATAGAAAAGATAAAAAAAAAAAAAAAGAGGGAGAGCGAGAGTATCAGTGACCTGAGGGACAGTATCGAGTAGTCTAATATGCATCTAATTCAAGTCCCATAACTAGTGGAAACAGACATTCTCTCCCCACTCCCCCTTTCTCTTGTTTTTATGTTAATAAGATGTTAGATCTTGTTTGATGACTTTTGATTTAGGATGTAAGAGACAAACTCATCTGTTGAGAGTTGGAAAAAGGTGTTGGGGCTTGAGGGGAGTGGAGAATGCATGGAAAGGGAACAAGAATTCAGGTTAACTAGAATCATGTGAAGGTTTCTGTGCAGGGTTGAAGCCCCCAGGGGTCGGAGAGGTAGACTTAGAATAGTGCTAGTCTGCTGTGCTGATTCTAGATTGAATCTTATGAGGCAAAGGAGCACTTGAACCAGTGCTCTTCTTACGTAGACTCACAGACCGCTATTCCCAAGATTTAGAACAAGGAAGGCAAATTTGCTATTCTGTCCCCTGAGTCTATGGCAAACATCACTACCCAGTTACAGAATTCTTTCCTGCTGAGTGTTGTAATTAGCCACTGCCAGTTGATTCTTGAGGTAAAACTAGTTTTTCTTCCCTGCTTATTAACTCACAGGCCATGAAATCATGATTGTTATAGATTACTAAAACAGTTTGAATTATCTCTGTATTTAAGAGTAACATAGGCTTCTACAGGAAAACTCTGGAAACTCAAAAAATGGTTAGATTTCTCACTATTTTTAATTTGTTCAATTCTGTAATCTAGTATTCTGAAATCTAATAAGTTTTCAGAATTTTTCATGACTGACTTTTTGACCTTATTTCTTTTCCTGATTCCATGTGTTTTTTTATGAGAAATAAGACTTAGCTAATAGTTAGCTAAAGTTATGTAGCTGTCAGAATTTTAAGGCTTAACATTTTATTTTATTCATCTCTGATTCTTTGTTAATCAATGCTTTATAGATAGAACTTTAGCAAGTTGGTAATTTGCTCATTTGAAATTATTAGAAGAATGTTTAAAACTCATGACTAGTAGAATGATTTCTTTTTATATTATTATGTTTTGTTTTTGCAGCTTGGAAAAACAGATACTGTTTCTCACAAGTTCAGAAAGAAATCAAAAGTCAAGGAAACCAAAAGTGGAGAAATGACTAGTATTCATAATATAACCGGTTCTTCCTTTAGTTCTTTGTCAAATGTGGCATATGAAGGAGACTATTATTTGAATACTTTGCAAGATAGAGGAGATAAGGAATTAAAGAAATTTTCTCTCAATTCGGAACTTTTGGATTCTGAGTCACTCACAGAACTACCGTTGGTTGAGAAACTCTCAAATTGCAGCCTGTCTACACCTTCTTTGTTTGATGATAACAACATGGAAATTTTTCACCCTCCTCAATCTACTACAGCCTCAGTTGCCAAGGAAATCTCTTTAGCTTCTTCTTTGATGGAAGAAACTACTGAATACATACATTCGGATCTTATAGAAGTCTGTAATAATGAAACCATATCAGTGTCTTCTTACAAAATTTGGAAAGATGATTGCTTATTGATGGTCTGGTCAGTCACTAATAAGAGTGGTTTGGAATTGAAAAGTGCTAACTTGGAAATTTTTCCTGCAGAAAATTTTAAGGTAAGACAGTGGTGTCTAGATGGCATTCATCATTTATGCCTTAAATGGACAATGCTTACTTAGTGTTCCTACTGTAGGCTCTTTGGATGGTTTATAAATTTCTTCCCCATCCTTCTTACTTCTTTAACAAAAACAGGTAAAAGCTATGGAAAATTTTTTATTATTTTGAGTAGAGACAAATTATTCAAAAGAGACAAGGAAAGCATAATCAAAGCTTTGCTGGTAGCTTTGCCTGTAATCCCACCACTTTGGGAGGCCAAGGTGGAAGGATTGCTTGGGGCTAGGAGTTCAACCATCCTGGGCAACATAGTGAGACCCTGTCTCTACCAAAAAATAAATAAATTAACTGGGCACAGGAGTACATGCCTGTAGTCCCACCTAGCTTGAGTGACAATGAGACTTGTCTCTTTTTTTTTGAGACAGAGCCTCACTCTGTTGCCCAGGTTAGAGTGCCGTGGCATCAGCCTAGCTCACAGCAACCTCAAACAAACTCCTGGGATCAAAGGATCCTTCTGCCTCAGCCTCCTGAGTAGCTAGGACTACAGGCATGTACCACCATGCCTGGCTAATTTTTCTATATATTTTTAGTTGGCCAATTAATTTCTTTCAATTTTTAGTAGAGACGGGGTCTTGCTCTTGCTCAGGCTGCTTTTGAACTCCTGAGCTTGAAGTGATCCTTCTGCCTTGGCATCCCAGAGTGCTAGGATTATAGGTGTGAGCCACCGTGCCCAGCCCAGACCTATCTCTTAAAAAAAAAAAAAAAAAGATTGTATTGGGAAAGGCCATAGATGTAAAGTTAGTTTCAGTAGAACATGGTAAAGAATGTAGGCTCTTGTCTCAGACTGCTTGGCTTTGAATCTTGTTTCTGCAGCTTATTAGCTGAATTGCGTGGTCAAGTTAAGTAACTTGACTCAGATACTTGCTTTGTACCTCAGTTTCTTCATTTTTAAAATGAGAATAGTAATAGTGTGTGCCTATTGCTGTGATGATTACATGAATTAATGTCTGTAACATACTTATAGCAATACATGGCACGTGGTTTTATTATTGTATTTTATTTTATTTTTTAAAGACAGAGTGTCTCTCTGTCACCCTGGGCAGAGTGCAGTGTCATCATCATAGCTCACTGCAACCTCAAACTCCTGGGCTCAAGCGATCATCCTGCCTCAGCCTCCCAAGTAGCTGGGGAAGATTGGTGCATGCCACCATGCCCGGCTAGTTTTTCTATTTTTAGTAGAGATGGTGTCTCACTCTTGCTCAGGTTGGTCTCGAAATCCTGAGCTCAAGTGATCCTCCTGCCTCGGCTCCCAGAGTGCTAGGATTATAGGCGTGAGCTACCTCACCAGGCCTCCTGTAGTCTTTAAATGTCTCACTCACTTTTGTCATAAACACTGAAATGAAATTCTCAAAATATTTAACAAAGTGGAATATCAAGGAGTAAGGATACTGAATGATAAATTGTATACTGTCTACTTCTTTTTTTTCTCTCACTGATGTATTTTTCTGTACTGAGTGCTCAGGGATCAATTCTGTCCCTTCCATTGTGATTTCTGAAAATGTGTTTGATTGCATTATTGTGTGGATGTCCTTGGTGAAGTTATAATTTGTCTTCTACAAAACTGACTCAGTCTCTTCTGTGAGCTAGAATGTGTTGAATGACCTGGGCAAAAGTTCCTGACTCTGGATATGCATTAAAGTCACCTGTGGAACTTAAAACAAAACAAAACAAAACCCAACCCAGTTGCCTGAACTCTACCACCAGAGTTTGAGCAAGGGTGGTGAATGAGAATGGAAGACAACTGTATATTTTTATTTGTTAATTATTTTTCAAAGTTTCCTAGCTTTAAAAATCTGGTGCCAGCCAGGACTGGGAACCAGCAGACTAGAATTTAATAATCTTTTAAAAAATAATTACATAGAAGTTTTAAATGCCATGCCATTTATTAACATAATTTTGAATTGTGTACTCTTATTTCTTTTCTGTGCTAGTGAATTTTTCTCAAGTTGTCAGTCATTTTCATAATGTAGTTTGTTATTAACTTCCTACATTAGTATGCTTTTGTGCTACTTCAATTAAATAGAAAATTGGTGTTCATATAAGAGTCTGTATTGATCCCTTCTTCAATACTTTTATTACTTTTATTTACAGATCACTGAGCAAACTGGATGCTGTTTGCCTGTAGTGGAAGCAGAAAGCACCAAAACCTTTCAATATAGTGTGCAGATGGAAAAACCTTTTACAGAAGAGAATCTTTCTGGTTTTTTAAATTATCATATGATGGATACTCATTCTGTTCAGCTGGAATTTTCTGTAAACTTATCACTATTAGATTTCATTAGGTAAATACTTTCTGGAATGTTAATTCAAGTTATTCATTCGGCACATATTTTTTAGACCTATATATATATAGGTGCTAGGGAGTATAACAATTAAAAAAACTAGACACAGTCCCTACTTTAAGGGAATTTCTGGTCTAGGGAGGCAACACTAAGCATTACATAAATACACACATAATTGTGAATTGTGTTATGAAAAGAAAGTAAATGATACAATGAGAGATTATAATATGAGACCTGATTTTGGTTGGAGTTGGTTGGTGATCTAGAAAAATTTCTGAGAAAAAGTATTATTTAAACTAAAGCCAAAGGTTCTGTATGGCTTTTTACTTTAAAGCTTTTAAAGTTTCTCTCATTTGTATTTCATTCTTGTGATTAATTCTTTCTAAAAATCTGTTTGTTACGCTTTGAGAACTTTAAGCAAATTACTTGACATAGTTATTAAACTTTTATTAAACATGCAGTAAATACTTAATATTATACTAGGCACTGTGCAGTGTTACCAAGATAATTGAAAATAATCTCTTAACTCATCTATCATTTAGTTTTATAAATGTACTATATTTGAACATTTAAACAAACGAGGGCTGCCTGAACCTTCAAGAATGCAGAATACCAATGAATATATATAAAAATTTTTTAACTTCCCATATCATTTGTGATACACTACTGTAATTTTTGCCCACTCTTTAAAGTTTTTTAGTGAGAACATGTCTATCACTCTGCAAAGAGTACTATATATCTGTGATCCTGTATAAGATAAAATCCAGCTTTCAAAACATTTTAATCTGTGACTTTGAAGGTATATCCCATGATAAACATTAGTAATCTGAGGAAACACAATATATGTAACATAGTCGTTCTTTGTGTATTAATAAAAAAATCCTCTGTGTCTTTTAAAAATTTTTTCTTACTTATAAAATCAATACATACTTATTATAAAATTTAAATGCTATAGAAAAATATAAATAGAATATAAAAGTTCTCTGTAATCCCCAGAGATAACCAGTTTTAACTATTTGATCTTTAGTCTCATGAACCATTTAAAAAATATATTTGTTAAAATTCTTCCTCCCGTTCCCTTCCTTCCCTCCTCTTCTCTCTCTTCTCTTCTCTTCTCTTCTCTTCTCTTCTCTTCTCTTCTCTTCTCTTCTCTTCTCTTCTCTGTCTGCTCTGCTCTGCTCTGCTCTGCTCTGCTCTCTCTGTCCCTCTTCTCTTTTTTTTTTTTTTTTTTTTTTTTGAGAGACAGGGTTTTGCAATGTTGCCTAGGCTGGTCTTGAACTACTGAGCTCAACCCATCCTCCTGCCTCAGCCTCGCAAGTAGCTGGGACCGATCTTTGTATTCATACTCTTTTTTTTTTGAGACAGAGTCTCACTTTGTCACAGGCTAGGTGAGTGCCGTGGCGTCAGCCTAGCTCACAGCAACCTCAAACTCCTGGGCTCAAGCAATCCTTCTGCCTCAGCCTCCCGAGTACTGGACTACAGGCATGCGCCACCTGCCCGCGTAATTTTATATATATATATATACTTGGCGGCAATTAATTTCTTTCTATTTATAGTAGAGACGGGGTCTTGCCTCTTGCTCAGGCTGCTTTCGAACTCCTGACCTCGAGCAACCCCTCGCGCTCGCCTCCAGAGTGCAGGATTACAGCTTGACCACCCGCCCGCCGTGTATTCATACTCTTATATATAACTTTGATAGCAGTATCTCAGTTACCCTCAAACTCAAAGTATACCTGAACAACGGAAAGTCTTTATATTTTTTTTTTGACACTGATTTGTTAAATTGCTTGGTAAAATCTCTACTGAATCGGACTAATAGCTCAGAGAAGTCTGAGTGATTATTACAATGCATTTTTCAAAATTTTCAGACTCAATTACAGGGGTACAATGCTTTTTGGTTACCTGAATTACTTTTCTATAGTTTGAGCTCAGACTTATCAAGTGTCCCTTCACCCAGCAGTGCCACATTATGCCCATCTAGTGTGTGAATTTGCCTCCTTTGCCTGCGCCTCCCCTGCGTGATTTCTGTTGAGTTTAGCTTCATATGCTGCACATAAGTGTTGATTATTCCCAATTTAAATAGTGAGAATGTGTGGTGTTTTGTTTTTCCAGTTCTTAGTAACTTCTCTTAGAAGAAGGTTCAGTTCATCCAGGTTGTTACAAAGGTATTATGTTCCCATTTTTTTACAGACTGGTAGTACTTCATGGTATACGCAGTATTCCACCATTTTTACTCCATTCATGTATTGATGGGCACTCTTGGGTTGATCCACCATTTTATGATGTGAATCGTGCTGCAATAAACCACTCGGAGTCAAGTATCTTTTTGATAAAATGCTTTTTTCCTTTGGGTAAATACCGCAATAGTGCGGATTGCTGGATCCAAATGGTAGGTCTACTCTTATTCTCGCAGTTTCGTCCATATACTTCTCGCTAGAGTTGTACCTAGTTTGCAGTCCACCAGCACTGTATGATGTTCCTATCTCTCCACATCCACATCCAGCATCTGTTGTTTTGGGAATTTTTGATAAAACCATCTCACGGAGTTACGGTGATATCTCTGTGTGGGACATTTTTTAATTTAATATCCATCCTTTCAGTATTCTTCATAAAGAATTAAGGGTTAAGATCTAAGCATCCTAATCATCATCCTTTGATTTCAAAACTAAATTTTGTGGACCCAGACTTTAAACACATTTGTTTATTTCGAAGTCATTTGACAAGTTTGTTTCTTTTAGCAATCATTTCATTTCTTTTGACAAAAATCTCAATTTAAAATTCATTTCAGACATTTAAGAAAATCTCAACTGAGACTTTTTGGCAAACTCTGCTTATCCTATCGCCAATGATGTGAAGCAAAAGTAACAAATGTCAGAATCTCAGCTGCTCTGCTTTCTGCCCTAAAAGACCGCTGGAACGAGAAACTAAGACTCCACGTTATTGACATTATAGGTTTGTAGAGATATAAAAAGGCGATTCTATGTTTATAGGAGCTTTCTCACATCAATACAATCAACTCTTCCAAGTGTCAGATTTCTTAGAGCTGTATTTCCTGTTGTGGCTATCATTCAGATGAGTGTGTTTTTCGGATTAAAGAATGCTTTATTGGAAAATACACATAACATAAAATTTACCATTTTGCCCATTTTTGAATGTATATATAGTTCAGTGGCATTAAGTACATTCACATTGTGTAACTATCACCACCGTCTATCTCCAGAACTTTTAAATCTTCCTCAACTGAAACTCTGTACCCATTAAACACTAACTCCCCATTTCCCCTTCCTCCTAGCCTCTGAAAACCACCATTTTACTTTTTGCCTCTATGAATTTGACTACTTTATATACCTTCTATAAGTGAAACCATACAATATTTGCCCTTTTGTGCCTAGCTTATTTCACTTAGCATAATGTCTTCAAGGTTAATCCATGGTGTGTACCGTGTGTCAGGATTTCCTTCTTTCCTAAGCCTAAATACTATTCCACTGTATGAATATACCACATGTTGTTTGTCCATTCATCTGTCAATGGATACTTGAGTTACTTCCTCTTTGTGGCTATGGTGAATAATGCTGCTATGAGCACGGGTATACAAACATCTATATATATGTCCCTGCTTCAGTTCTTTTGTTTAGATACTCAGAAGTGTAGTTGCTGGATTATATGGTAATTCTATATTTAATTTTTTGAGAAATTGCCATATCATTTTCACAGCAATTGTACCATTTTACATTTCCACCAGCAATGTACAAGGGTTATTATTTCTCCACATCTTCATCAACACTGTTTTTTTGAAATTAGCTATCCTAGTGGGTATGAAGTAGTATCTCATCGTAGTTTTGATTTGCATTTCCTTAATGATTAGTAATGTTGAGCATCTTTTCATGTGCTTATTCAGCATTTGTACATCTTGGAGAAATGTCTACTCATGTCCTTTTATATTAAATAAATTTTCATTTTTCTTTTGTTGTAGGCAATGAAGGGCTATTGGCCTGTCAGCTGCTACCATCCATCCCCTGCTTACTGCATTGCCGAGTTCATGCCGATGTATTAGCCCTGTGGTTCAGATCCTCCTGCTCTACTCTTCCTGACTATTTGCTGTATCAGTGTCAAAAGGTGATGGAGGGATCCTAGCAGAAGCTCTGCTTAATTTTACTCATCAAGATCAATGGTTTACATAGATAAACTTATTTACCAAAGTAAAAAAACTCATGGTACTTCTAATGAAAATGGGGATTATTATAAGTTGTGGTTTATGTGTTTTCTTTGTGATTACTGGTTAAGAAAGGTCCCCAAGGAACTGTACCCCTAGCCTTTAACTCAGGATTGTACAGTATGTTTGGGTCCCAAAAAAGTGACCTAAGCTAATGTTATAAACTGCAAATGATTTCTATATCACTTAGCGTAGAGGGACTGAAAATATTTATTTTGTTATAAATAATTTTATAGCTAACTTACTCTAGTGCTAACTAATTTATAGTAAAGCCAAGTCTCAGTTTTCTGTATTAATGGAGGAGAGACATGAAATTGATAATCCCAAATCTAATTCATATTTGGCTTTGGAATGCAGTGTATGTTTTTTTGGTAGGCAAGTCAGTACTTTTAGTTATGTTTTGCTTAGATCGGCGTTGCACTAAGTTGGCATAGCACACACTAACAGTTGCAGGAGATCCATGAGCATGCTGGATATGGGGGGGATCCAATCTGGGGTATATTTTTTATTCTAGATAACTTGTTACACATAATTCCAGATAATTTGGCTGTAAAATTTGTCTGTTTTCTACTTGCGTTTATTTTAAAATTCAAAGTGAGTCACTGTATGCATTCTTATTTGAAAATCTCAGAGCCATTTATAAAATATTATCATATAGAAACAAAACCCATAAGAGCACATAGTATCAATGCAAACAGTTATAAAAGGACTTTTTAGTTCCAAAAACTATCTTTGTTACCACTTAGGTCTTTTTGGCAAATGAAAATTTGTGATTAGAATATAAATGGCAAAACTATCTTTCCTGGCCTTTGAATCCACTAATACTCAATGGATACAGCTGAAACAATGACTGCCTAAGTATATCATGGAAGTTCTTCTCTAAAATATATCATTTTCATGTTATAATTATGCCTGTATGGCCTCTGTCAGAGCTATTATCAGTAAGAGAAGAGGTTAAGCCTAATATGATTAATGGACCAAAATCTTGAGATTGTACATTAACTGGAATAGTATTTCATAAAACCTTATGGTGCTGTGGAAAACATTTATTATTTCACTTTTTCTGGTACTTCACCATGGAGACTATTCAGGTAATGCAGTTTTAAGTCATTGCAGTTAATACTTTGATTAATTTATACTGTTTATCACCCAGGTCTGGAATTCTGATTTTAGGTTATCTCATTAATCATAGCTGAGATGAAGATGCTAAGGGGATTCCCCAGAGCTCATAGATTTTATTAGTCATTTGTGTCTAGAATATTCCTCCCTAAAAACAAAAGCAGTATTTTTCCTTGATTATTTTTAAGTTATTCATTTAAAAAATGAAACATTAATTTTATTCTTTTAAAAACATACAGTAAAACCTTGCTACAAGAGCAGTAAGTGACTAGAATTACCTGCATGGTAGGTTCCTCCTTTTGCATAGAAGATCAGATTCATCCTCAGACTTCCAGCAGTGTCAAGATGTAGGGGATGTGCTGACTCTGGGGATGTGGTAGACACTTGATAGCTAACCTCATCAGCTTCCTCATTATATTCCTACCTCTGTCAGCAGCCTCTGTTGCCCCTTACCTGGTTCTGTGTGACTGACAGAGAGGAAGTACCCTCTTTGTAAAGGAATGCAGTGTGTCCCACAGGAGGTGCTCCAATTTTTTGTGTCCTTACTTCCATGTGCTTGCCTGGTCACTGAGAGTAGGGTGAGTGTGGAGCAGGGAGAGGTTACAATGAGCTTTCTGCTGCATTGTTACAGGGTGTATTCATGAGTGGCAGCAACAGTTGTCATGAGAAACATACTTGGCATACAGAGGTGTCTCATAGTAGGAGACATGTAATAGTAGGTTTAGGTCTGGGAGCCTGATTTTGGATCTGCCAAAGGAACATGGTATCACTTTTCTTTCTGAACCCACTAATAAAAAGTAGGGTAACAGGGTTTCTACTGAAATGTTTGGTAGAATGTTTACAATTTTTATAATTTTATGATTTTTAAAAACAAACACTAATAGAAAAGAGTAGATTTTTAACTTAAGAGTAGTATATACTCTGTCTAAACTCATTGAATGTTTTAAGTTCTAAATCAGGCATCACCAATCATTTTTTTTTTTTGTATTGTAGGAGATGTGACTATATAAAGTAGGGAGAATGATTTTTGTGGGTAGACTCATTCTCTTTACCTTATTATAGTCATGATTTAGTTAAGGGGCAGCCTCTGGGGTAAGAACTATAGGAAGATGCTCAACTGTGTGAGCTTTGTGCCAGACATCTAGACTGAGAATGGAGATGGCAGCGAGTGAGAATCTGGGCGAACAAAAGGGAAGATGAGAAATCCTTACTAGCAGGTGGAGAGTCAGGGTCAGGCTCCTGCCAGAATAATCCCTGTGGAGGCAGGCAGATCAGGGGCTCAGAGTTTGAAAGTGGGCCCCAAGTAAGAGTCCTTCTAGAGAAACTGCAGATGGAAGCCGGGCAGTTACCAAGTGATGATGTGCCAAGCATACCAAGCACTGCATGTGCTCTGCTGAGGAGCATTATTTTAAACAATATTCTATTATCATCTACCCAAATAATTGCAGTAAAAGTGAAGTATTTTATTTTTTTTATTTCATGTCAGTAATATTTTAAAATATTGATCTATTTGTCTTATATTTTTATGGATAAACGTCTTTGTCTCATGATTGTGAGCCACTGAAGTGCACTGAACCTGTTCATGCATCTTTTAAGATGTTTTGCTATGTTAAAATTTTAGGAGAGAAAAATGCAAGTGAGTAACAATTTAGTAGGCCTTTGTTACCTTATTTTGGAATTGAATTCTGTAATTTGAAAAAGTTCAGTTAAACATGTAATAAATACGAAGTGATCATATTGTTTTTTGGTCTATATGTTCATTATTATCTAAGTAGCTGAATAATAAATAATGCTGTTTAATCAGTAATTTGGTAGGTATTAGCTAAAAAGAGCAGAAGCAATTGGAACAGGATGAAAAGAATAATTTACTCATTACAGCCTCCAAACAATCTGCTCTAATTGGTTGAAAGTAAATATACTGCTATTTTTATGTGATGGTGAGAGAGAACTTTGTGGGCTTCATACAAATAGTGCTGATATAAATGGTATTATGTTTTTAATTTCAAATTGCTCTTACTCATTGCTGGTATATGGGAAAGTGATTGACTTTTACATATTAACCTTGTATCCCACAACTTTGCTATAATAACTTATTAGTTCTAGGAGTTTTTTTGGTTCATTCTTTTGGATTTTATGCATAGATGATTATGTTTTCTACAAACAAAGACATTTTTATTTTTTTCTATTCCAGTCAATATACCTTTTATTTCCTTTTTCTGCCTTACTGCATTAGCTAGGATTTCAGTACAATGTTTAAAAGCTGTGGTGAGAGGAGACATTCTTGCCTTATTCCTGATCTTAATAGAAAAGCTTCTAGTTTTTCACCATTATGTATGATGCTAGCTGTAGGTTTTTTCTAGGTCTTCTTTATCAAGTTGAAGAAGTTTTCATCTATCCTAGTTTACTGAGAGTTTTTTATCATGACTCATTGTTGGATTTTGTCAAATGCTTTTTCTGTATCTGTCAGTATGATCATGTGATTTTCCTTGTTTATGTGATAGATTATATTCATTGATTTTCAAATGTTGAACCAGCCTGTATACCCAGGATAAATCTGACTTGGTCATGGTGTATAATTCTTTTTTTACATTGTTAGATTTGATTTACTAATATTTTGTTGAGGTTTTTTCTCTTAGGTAGCTACCTCTATCAATAAATAGAAAATTGAGATGTTTCATATAAAGTCTGTATATCGATCCCCTTCTTCCAATACTTTATTACTTTTATTTACGAGATCACTGAGACAAACGGACTGCTGTTTGCCTGTAGTGGAAGCAGGAAAGCACCAAAACCTTTCAATATGTGTGCAGATGGAAGAAAACCTTTTACAGAAGAGAAATCTTTCTGGTTTTTTAAAATCATAGGATGATACTTCATTCTGTTCAGCTTGGAATTTTCTGTAAACTTATACGTATTAGATTTCATTAGAGTAAATACTTTGTCTGGAATGTTAATTCAAGTTATTCATTCGGTCAATATTTTTAGACCCTATATATATTATAGTCCTAGGGAGGTATAACAATAACACAAAAACTAGACACAGTCCTAGCCTTTAAAGGGAATTTCTGGTCAGGGGGAGGCAACACTAAGCATACATAAATACACACATAATTGTGAATTGTGGCTATAAAAAGAAAGTAAATGATACAATGAGAGATTATAATATTGAGACCTGATTTGTTGGGAGTTTTGGTTGGTGATCTAAAAAATTCTTGAGAAAAGTATTATTTAAACTAAAACCAAAGGTTCTGGTATGGCGTTTACCTTTAAAGCTTTTAAAGTTCTCTCATTTGTATTTCATTCTTGTGATAATTCCTTTGACTAAAAATATCTGTGTTGTTACGCTTTTGATAACTTTTAACAAATAACTTGACATAGTTAATAACTTTTTATTAAACATGCAGTAAATACTTAATACTATTCTAGCACTGTGCAGTGCTTACCAAGATAATTGAAAACAATCTACTTAACTCATCTGCCTATCATTTAGTTGATAAATGTACTATATTTGAAACATTAAAAAACTGAGGGCTGCTTGAACCTTCAAGATATGCAGAATACCAGTAATAATATAAAAATTTTTTAACCTTCCCATATCATTTGTGATACACTGCTGTAATTTTTGCCCACTCTTTAAAGTTTTTTAGTGAGAACATGTCTATCACTCTGCAAAGAGTACTATATATCTGTGATCCTGCTTTCAAAACATTTTAATCTGTGACTTTGAAGGTATATCCCATGATAAACATTAAGTAATCTGAGGAAACACAAATATGAACATAGTCGTTTCTTTGTGTATTAATAAAAAATCCTCTGTGTCTTTAAAAATTTTTTTTACTTATAAAATCAATACATACTTATTATAAAATTTAAATGCTATAGAAAATATAAATAGAATATAAAAGTCTCTGTAATCCCAGAGATAACCAGTTTTAACTATTTGATCTTTAGTCTCATGAACCATTTAAAAAATATATTTGTTAAAATTCTTCCTCCCGTTCCCTTCCTTCCCTCCTCTCTCCTCTCTTCTCTTCTCTTCTTTCTCTTCTCTTCTCTTCTCTTCCTTCTCTTCTCTTCTCTTCTCTTCTCTTCTCTTCTTGCTCTGCTCTGCTCGCTCTGCTCTGCTCTGCTCTGCTCTTCTCCTCTTCTCTTTTTTTTTTTTTTTTTTTTTTTGAGAGACAGTTTTGCAATGTTCCTAGGCGCTTGAACTACTAGCTCAACCCATCCTCCTGCCCAGCCACGCGTAGCTGACCAGATCTTTGTATCATACTTTTTTTTGAGACAGAGCTCACTTTGTTGCACAGACTAAGTGCCAGTGCGTCACAGCTAGCTCCACAGCAACTCAAACCTGGGCTCAAGCAATCCTTCGCCTCAGCTCCCGAGTAGCTGACTACGCATGCGCCACCATGCCCGGCTAATTTTATATATATATATATATTAGTTGGCCAATTAATCTTCCTATTTATAGTAGAGAGGGGTCTTGCTCTTGCTCAGGCTGGTTTCGAACTCCTGACCCGAGCAATCCGCCCGCCTCGGCCTCCCAGAGTGCTAGGATTACAGGCTGAGCCACCGCGCGGCCATTCATACTCCTTTATATAACTTTGATAGCATATCTCATTACCTCCAAATCCAAAGTATACATGAAAGGAAAGTTTTATATTATTTTGAATGATTTGTTAAATTGCTTGGTAAAATCTTACTGGAATGACTAATAGTCAAGAGACTGAGTGATATAAAATGCCA